AATACTTCAAAGGACTTACACCATAACGATATGCCACTAAATTTTCGGATTCCCAAATAGAATTCGTCGACAATTCCCTATACAATATAAAATAAATGGAAAATTCTACCTACTAAATGTAGTTCAGTGAATATATATTCTGGTAGGAGATTATATGTATAGGTTTAAACTTGTAGGCGAGCATCCATTCTGACTTCTGTGGACAAGCCAGTCAAGTGGCTATCTTTAAAACATTCGTAGTAAATAGCAATATGAGAACAATGTACAGAAGTTATTTCGCATCCACTTTGATCCAATTTTCCCTTTTAAACTCTTATCTGATATTTGACATAAGTACTTTTATAGTGCAATTACCACTTCAAAAAGAAGAAAGATACAAACAGTAGACAAGTCATAAACAAAGATGAATATAGGCATTGTTAACTTGGAGTAGCTTCATTCGTGGATGGTATGAATACAAGTAAAATGGATCGAAATGAATTTGCATAATGTATACATAAACAGAGAAGGTAGGGGTTGGAATAACATACATCCAAGGGTGAGACTCTGACACTGAAATAGAAACTGAAGCATATTTCAGAGATTAGTTTTCACTACTGACCAGAATACAGAAACTAGCAGATCACTAAATACTTAAAAGACAATCACCATCTTGTAACACGACATATTTGTCATATGCTAATATGTCTAACTACTTAACGCTTCTGCAAAGCTAGCAACTTCCCTCCACACTCCACAGACAAACTTGGCTACCCGAAGACATATAGATATTAAGATAAAATAGTCATGCAACACTAAGAAGTAGCTGACATGGGCATCAGAATGTGACAATTTTGAATCTGAAATCAACCATGGCCACACGTGCATGGACAACAAAGTCCCAGCACATCAATCATACTGAGAAAAAGAGTTTAAGCATTTGAAATAATGGGCACATGATTGTCCAAAACCTTGCCATCCGGAAATAAATATGATTTATCCACTCTCTTAGCTGGATACTCGTCCAGTATAGTGATTTTATAAACAACGTGAAAATTTAGAAAACTTTAGGTTACCTTTATGATCTTCTCGCTACCTAAATAATATTTTGATATTTACACTTATTTTCTCAGTTGATCGACCATACGAGCTTTTCTAACAGACCAGATTTAGCTACATAACGTTTTTGCAGAAGTCACTATATTTCATTAATAAAGTGCCATATTGTCATACCGTCAAATCTATACTATATTTTAAGAAAAGCTCCTCTTTTGGTCATTGTGAGCCATATTTTTAGAATTCCGAAAATGCCCTAACATCCAAAAATTAATTGTAGATGCCTTCACACTCAAGAAAAATCAACCAAAATGCAGCCACACTTGACAATATCAAAGGGAATGTCCTCACACTTGAAAAAAATCACAGAAATGCCCCTAAACTAGGAAAATCCAAAAAAATCAGCAAAAATACACTATCAGTTTTCTTGACAATTTGCTTACTACACTCCCCCCACATTTTGTGTCATGCATGCATCGCGTGCACCGCAGTACTAGTACGAATATAAGCGAATAGCTGAACAGAAAAGTAACAAGCGACAGATGAAAATTAATGAAATTCGAGTCTTAATTTTTGAGATCTTTTGAAACACAACAACATTTAAACAAACCTTACCCAGGAGTTGGCTTGTCGACAACAATTTCTTCAGGAACATTCTCATCATCCCAAGGAGGAATACTTCTTTCTTCCTCCAACGCATTAACTTTCAATACAGCAGCTTTGAGGTCTTCTAGAGTAGCACGTGCTTGAGGTTCAACTATCTTTATGACACAGCTGCATGCTGTACAGAATTTCATAGCAAATCTGGACACCTCCATTGAAGAAATATCTGCAACATGATAGAAAAAACATTACGTTTATAAAAGAAAGAAAGAAAATAAAGAAGATGATGCAGAATCAAGAAGATTTAATCTGAAATTTCCGAACAGAGAACAATTGGTATTGGATAGGCTTGACTGGTATAAATAAAGGTGGATCGATTAGAATTTATCAATGTTGAAAGGGAGGCTTTTAGAAGTTCTCAAATTGTTAGGTTAGTTTAGTATCACTATAATAGATACATGAGGAGAAAATGAGAGGTAAGACTAGTAAAAGAAATTAGTGCAATTGAATGCTACAATTTTTTAACTTCTCTTTCTATGTGTCTTCCCTTCCTCTCCTGCCATTCCACTATTCATTATCAACTATTCTTCCTCCATTACATTGATTGTTTTAGATATCCCCGACATGGCCCAATATATCCCTTACAAGGCTTGTCATAAAATGATATGGTCTAAATATCCTTCACCGTTTTTCGACAATTTTGGGCGATATTTTAGCTGATACATTGGTCAATATGTCCTTTTATATGACTATTGCCAAACAATATAGCACTTTTGGCAGCTTTCGGGTGACATATCATGATTTTCTCAATATATCACGTGACATTTGGCCTCAAAAAAATCGGAAGAAATATTGCAATGTCAAGTTAGACTTTTATTGTTTTATAAGGTTGATTAGTGATCCTAAACATATATTATTCACATTTTTATATGCTTAGATTTCATTAAGTATGTTTAAATTACATTTTGGGATATTATATTCGATATCCACATCATCCAATATAGCACCCCAATATTTACCACGAATCCCCGATATCCACAATCCGATATGAATTTTGGTCGTCCCATATTTCCTCGATACCCAATATTTAAAACCTTGATTACATCCCTTCTTCTCTTTTTCTTTCCCATCCATATCTGCATGCTGCCTCCATCACTAGGCGTTTTCCTTACCAAAATCATTTCTGTTAGGTCAAATTGAAAGATTTTTGTTAGGTCAAATTGAAAAACACCACTTAATTTTCACTCCAAAAAGTAACTTCACACTACATCTCCTAAATGAACGTATTTGGTTCATTTGCATTGACTCGTTTAATGGCATTCAATTTCCATTTTTCTATGAATTTAATGTTCACCTATGGAAAAATTTAGAAACCAGAGACATTTTTCCAAGTAACTCAGCCAAAAACCATAGATGATCTACATCAATGCATAACTAGAGGATATATTATTTGTCTAACAGCTCTCATGCAATTACTACATTTTGTTAGCTGTTCTCATTCATGATGTATTCAAGACAAGCTTCTATGTCAATGCCATTAATTTGGCCAATCATACTATTTGCCTAGCACAGACCTATAGGTGTTCTAATTCTTGAAGGAGGCAAGATACATCACACGCAAACCAGCAACTGTTTCTTATGCAGACTGCAACTCCAATCATATTCTCTTCAAGACAAGCTTCTAAATATGCAGTGGTAATTGAAAAACAAGTAGTGAATTAAGCACCACATAATCCCTCTACTTGCTCAAGAACCTTAATTAGAAAAGCTTTTGAGAGACCATTAGTAATGAATACTGAATAGTTCTAATCAAATAAGCAAGCCATTACTTACGAGGCAATATAGTTTTTTGTAGTTGAGCTTCATAGTCAATCCCAATAATAGGCTCCTTGTGGAAAAAATGCTGCAGGTTAAAGGAAAGCAAATTGCTATGATTAAAGATAATCATATGAATATAGCAAAGCATGGCAAAAATATGGAGGTACAGCTACATACAAGCGATAAATCCCTAAGAAAATATCACACTATGAAATGTTTTTCAGTTTAGGTAAGAATTGAGTAATTACAAATAGAACATTACAAATTTACCAACAATGAACATATGACTAGCCAAGTAGGCATCAATAGATGATAGGTTTTTTACCAATCACAAAAATATTGTTCGTAATTATAAAAAGACGTAGATTGGTTCTTTCTCGGCATAGTACCCTGAAACACCCAACCTATACTCATTTTAAATTTTAATTCCTAAAATCTTTTCTATGAAGTGCCCCCCTACCAATTAGATCAAGTAAAGACTTCGAACTAAAATGGACTTGATCGTGGTCATCCTAGCAATTTGCAAAAGGTAAATTTACTTATAAGCATTTCACCACCAACCAAGCAGAGTGAGTATTATTTAGATGTCAACAAGACATCTAGGTTCAAAAGCCAGTCGACATGGGTCTAAAAAGGAATAAAAAACAAAAGTTAAGTTTCCATTTCTTTTCCAAGGAGGGAGAGTTGGCTAATAGTTTACCATATGTCGCAAGAGGGGTGCAAACTGGTCCGAATTTATCCGGACCGACCGCAACTGTATCCGTTTGGAAAGCGGATATGGTAAGGAAAAATTGAAACCGGTCGGATATGATTTCGGAAACGGTTACGGTTTAGATTTTCTATCCGGATACGGTTATCGGGTCGAAATTACGGATACGGTCCGGATATCCGGATATTTGAAATGGGCTAAATATATAACACTGGTTTATAAATTATAACACATATTGGGTTGGGTCAAACTCAAAATCCACAACCCGACCCGTTTAAAACTAAAAAAACCTCCCCAATTCCCAAACCCTAAGCTCCTTCTGCTCAAAATCTCAACCCCATCCTCCGCCTCCCTAATTCCCAAAACCCACGTTGCAGCTCCGCCTCCTCTCCTCCGCGTCGGGCTCCGCCTCCTCCGCGTCGGGCTCCGCCTCCAAAGATCTGTGTCGAGCTCTGCGTCCTCCTCAGCGTCGAGCTCTGCGTCCTCCTCCGCGTCGAGCTCCGCCTCCAGAGATCCGTGTCGAGCTCCGCGTCGAGCTCCGCATCCTCCTCCGCGTCGAGCTCAGCCTCTCGCTCCTCCTCCGCGTCGAGATTCCCCTCCTCTTCCGCGTCGAGCTCCGCATCCCTTCGCCCTTCGAAGCCTACAGTAACAGAACCCTTCGCCCTTAATTTGGTATAATTCAAAACCCTAAGCCCTAATTTTTTTTGATACCCTAATTTCTATCATTTGTTGAGTGATTTGAAAAACCCACAGTTCAAGCATTTGTTGTAATTTGCATCATTATATTTTTTTGTTTGATTAAGTTCATAAATTTCAATGAATAGGTATTAGAATCATGTCGTCTAATCCATCAGTTCAAGCTTCTAACGAAGAACCCACAGTTGAACCGGCCATTGAACCCGCAATAGAAGAGTCTTCTAATAAAACAGAGGAAAAAGCTGAGAAAAAGGGGGGGAAATTAACTTCTAACGTATGGTTAGACTTTGAGAAAATTGATAGAGTTGAAAAGAAAATTGTCGATGGGAAAGAAGTTGAAATAAAAATCAAGATAGCGAAATGTAAACATTGCTTGTTTGAATGTGATGGACGTAGTTCAAGAGGGACTACACACATTAGAAATCACATTATGAAGTGCCCCAAAAAGAAGAGACCCGATATTCGTCAACAATTGGTTCAAACTACTATAAAAAATGAAGATGGGACTTGTGCACTTAGTAATTATCATTTTGACAATGAGAAGAGTCAAACTTTACTTGCAAAAGCTATCATCGTCCATGAGTATCCTTTTAACTTGGTCACACATGACTTCTTTTTACAATATGTGCAATCTTTTCGTCCAAATCACAAGGTTCCAAGTCGTGCACAAATCACAAAGTTATGTATGAAAGTTTATGGTGAATATAAGAAATCTTTATTTGATTTGTTTGCCACATCTTCCATAAAGTTGAGCTTGACAATGGATAAATGGACATCATCTTCACAAAATTTGGCATATTTGTGCATTACCGCTCACTATGTTGATGAATCTTGGAAACTTCAAAAACGTATTATTGGTTTCATTAAAGTCCATAACTCCATGGGGAAGGATATATGCAATGTTTTAATCACTCGTTTACTTGATTGGAAAGTTGATAATAAAGTTGTCAATTACGGTATATAATGATAAAGCTAATGATGTTGCCGTTAAAATTGGGAAAGAACGTCTTAAAAAGTATCTACCTTGTGACGGAATCTTTTTTCATGTGAGATATGGATCACATATTATAAATCTTATTGTTCAAGAGGGGCTTAAAATTATCACTAAAGCTATTGAAAAAGTAAGGCTTAGTGTTAAATATGTTACATGTTCACCGAAGATGGAAGAGAATTTTTATCATGTTGCGAAGCAAGTGAATGTGGTTGGAGAAAAATGCTTAGCACTTGATTGTTGCACAAGATGGAATTCTACTTATTTAATGTTGATGAATGCTTTAAAGTACAAAGTTGCTTTTAATAGATTTGAACTTAGCGACGACAAATACATTCATTGTCCATCGGAGGAAGAATGGAATTATATTGAAACTTTGAGTAAATGTTTGAAACACTTTTATGATGCAACTATTCTCCTTTCCGGTAGTATGTATCCTACTTGCAATCTTTTATTTGAAGAATTTTGTGAAATTCAATTGCTTCTAATGGAATGGTTGAAAAGTAACGATGATACAATTGTGGCGATAGCTTTTGCAATGAAAAGAAAATTTGATAAATATTGGAGCATGTGCAATAAGATTTTTGCGGTGGCTACTTTTGTTGATCCGAGGTACAAAATGATTGTAATAAAATATTACTTTAAGGAGATTTATGGCATGGATGGTGAAAGGTGTACACTTGAAATTTTAGATGTCATCAAAAAGTTGTATAGAGAGTATGCATCTCTTGATGAAAAGCAATCCAAAAATAATGAAAATGCTTCAAGCTCACAAGCAAAGGAAGTAGAAAGAGTTGGTGATAAAAGAAAATCTAGATTTGCACAATTTGTTGAAACTATTGAGAAAGAGCCTACAAAGACGGATTTAGATTTATATATGGAAGAGAGTATTGTCCGATGCGAAGATGAAACAACGAGGAAATTTGATATATTAGATTGGTGGAAATCAAGTCTTGGAAGGTATCATATACTAACAAAAGTTGCAAGAGATGTTTTGGGTATACCGACATCAACCGTGGCTTCCGAGTCGGCTTTTAGCACCGGGGGGCGTGTGATTCATTGTTATAGAAGTCGAATGACAACGGATACGGTAGAGGTGTTGATATGTACACAAGATTGGATTAAAATAGAGAAATGAGGTAAATTTATAAATTTTGCATAGATTATGTTATATTTGGTTAATCGTACATTAAATGATTGTATGTTTTATTCTAATAAATTTTTTGTAGTTACAAAAGTGCAAATTATGAATGATGATGCTCTTGATGTGGTTAAGCTTTCGGATCACAACGACTCGGAGATTGCTGAAACATTTATAAAAGCACCCATAGGTTTGTTATTTAACTTCATAAGCATATGATTTGAAATTTATAAATTTTCACATATTTAACATGACAATTGCTCTTTTCATTTTTTCAAGGTGACATCGTGGAGGTCCTTGACTCGGATGCTTGCATTGATGGGTCTCATCTTTTGGTTTATATTTTCTTCTCAAGAATATAATTGTCTTAGTTTGCATGCTTTTTTGCTTAGGGAACTATATTATAGAACTTGTGGGTTTTTAATATATTGTATGCCACTTTGCTCATGTTAAGTCTGTACGTGACTTTATTTCCGGATTTGTGGCTTGTTATTTATGGATTTGTGACTTGTTGTTTCTGGATTTGTGACTATTATTTTTTGAATTATGACTTTATTGCGTGTTTTTTTGTCAAAAACATTGTGATTTCATTGCCATGAGAATGATACAGGCTCTATGAATCAAAGAGAGAATGACTTCATATGGACATCAAACGGTTCATTTAAGGTAAGTTGTAGTTTGTGAGGTCAGTTGTAGTTGGTGATTATCACATTTTAGTTATGGTATTCAATATTTTTTATTTTTTGTTTAAGGCATGCTATGGTGTTCTGAGGTTTGTCATACAAAATAGCAACAAAGTCTATGAGGTAACTTGTCTTACTTGTTTACTTCGCGAGTTATTAAAATCATATGTATTTTTTGTCATATCCTAGTCATATCTATTTCCCAAATATTTGTTTAGTATCCGTATCCGAACCGTATCCGTCTCTCTAATATCCGAACCATATCCGTTTCCGTTTAATGCTATCCGAACCGTATCCGTCTCTCTAATATCCGAACCATATCCGTTTCCGTTTAATGCGGATATGGTAATGCTTTTTTCTTACCGATGAATATCCGAACTGTATCCGTATCCGTTTTTAGAAAGTGGTTATGGTTATGGTAAGGGTCATATCCGAGCCGTATCCGAACCGAATGCACCCCTACGCAAGACAATCATAAGGAGAGCCTATACCTAAATTGTGCCTTTTGAACTACTTGTGGCATAAGGTATATCTTTTTTTATATTTATATTGTTTTCCATGATAATTCTAAATAGTGAAAGAGTTAAAAAATCTAAGCAAATGAATGTTGCCCAGTAAGAAAAGGTGGGAGAATTTCTTCTCACAGCATAGGATATCAATTCATATTGATAATAGATATTTATTTCATTAAATAGGTTCATGTAACTCTATAACAAGCATTTGCAATATAAAATGCCACAAGTCCAACCAATATAGCTTTCATGAAAGTAGACAACAAAATATCAGGAAATGCAAAACAATTTTTTATGTAGCCCCATATAAACAACAATTTGCAATACGCACTATACATGAAAACTGTTGGTAAGAGAGACATGAGTAATAGGGAAAGCTTTTACTGGTATGGGCACGAACGAAAATGGAACTGCACAGGATCATCGAAAATTATCTATTTCCATAAAACAAAGCCAGAAAACGAATAAGTAGGTATTGGCATGACTTACGAAGAAGGAAAGCAGCTATGGATTATTGTAAAGCAACATGGAAAGAGAAATACAAAACCTACTTGCAAATACTCATCTCGCAAACTTGTTGATTGCATTTGGTCCCGTTCTAAATAAGCAGATTCAATTTCTGACATCATCAGAGCACGCACTATAGATATTTCACGATCTGAAAACCCATGAAGCCGAACTCGAGCAACCTGAAAAATTTGAAGTCAAGAGTATGCATGCATAAAGCAAATCTCCAATCCATTCCGGATAAACTTAAAAAGCACCTCCATCAACATGGATTCAAGAGCATCAACCGTGCCGCCTTCTCTGCAGCTTGAAGTCATAATATAAGCCTTCACGGGTTTAACAAGTGCATCAGCAGATGACGAGCAAGAGAAATATGGTGGATCTTTCCGACGGGATAGTTTGAAAAGTCTCTGGTTTAGAGCACAGTGAAACATAGATTCGGCTAGTGAGTCCCTGTAATCTCTCACTGTTCTCATTTCATAGTCTGGAAGCTTGCAACTGATCATCACTGCTGACTGTTTTTAGCCAAAAAAAGAGACCAAAACCACAGTCCATAAGTATAGTCCAAACATGCAGATTCCAGGTGTGTGTTTTTTTCTTTTTTGACCTAAGTTGCATGGGTGCGGGTACGGGTACGGGACATGGCAAATTTGTAATAGGGTATGGGGAGACGAT